CAAAGAAGGGAAGGTGGAAAGTGGCAGATGAAAGAGAGGGGATGATGGAGAGAGGGAAAGCGAATAGTGAGGTAAGGCAAAGTAATAAAGAGAAGAAAAGAGGGCAGGAAAGGGAAGCAGGTTGAGCTTTTGATGCTTGTGATTATGTTTCTTCCTGGTCTAAGCATTTCAAAGGCCTGCTATGACATTAAATACCCCCAACTGTCAAAAACAACCTACTACCCCGAGCTGGCTGAATGGCTGAATACTGTGTGTATGTGTACATTTGGGGTGTAACAGGACTGCCTGGGGTTTAGACCGAGCTGACTCCTTTATTATATGCAATAAGCTAGGCTAAATACAATATGACACTTCTGCATAGTCTCTGCTTTGTCTTCTGCCTTTGTTAAGACACATGTGCAGAAGACCTAGGCCAGGGACTAATTAGGACTCGTGCACACATGGGCATGTGCACATACGCACACATAAGCACCAGCTCTCTTTCTTGCTGTTTCAGAGCGTCTGTCAAGGGTGTGAGAAGGGCACAATGAGGCTGTATGAGCAGCAGAGTTATGTGCTTGCCAGCGCAGCTTGGGTCGCTCATTAGTCTAAAAAAACATTTCTCTCATTTAACACCACTGTGACAAGGACCAGAGGTAATGGCTGAAACCTGAGGCTTCTGGAGCTTAATGGCTCAGAGTGTCTGTTTGTGGGTGTGCTTGCGGACAAGAGAATTTGCATGTACATGTACATCATGGATACGGGAAAGAAGGCTACCTGAAAGGCTTCCCCTTCAAAGTAAGCATGTCAGCATCAACATAATCATCTTCTCATCATGAAAGTCTCCTGCCAAACACAGGCTAATGAGCAGGTGAATTGTTAAGTCATTTGTTGCCACAAACTGGCAAAAGAAAATCTCCTTCTAGAGGCACTACTTAAGAGCGATGACATGGTTTCTCAGGCCATTTCCTCTAAGTAACATAGAGAAATAAAATGCCAAACATCTATGTTCATTAAGTACAGTTATAATACTAATGCTTGTGGGCTGACCAAAACTGCCCAGAAATACTGCACTATGAACCTCTTCATCAGCCTTGCAGTCGTCGCAACCATTGGCTTGAACTTTTTTCACTGACCCCTTCACATGATGACAATTCATCATCTGCAGGTCTGATTCTAAAAATAAAGAGATGTTTTAATGAATTAGCCTCTGCTTTCTTTTCCAACTGATACTCGACTTTTCAGACAATCAGAAGTTGAACAAAATGCTTGAGTCAGACAACAGGTGTTGAGAGACAGTTTAATAACATACCTTTATGTAACAGCACTGTATAAGTCTTCAGTATATGAAAGCTACACAAACAATGAGGAGGCAGCTGTAACCTGCAGTTACCCAGGTAGCTTACTGAGACAATATCCTGTTCTGGCTTACTCGCCTTCAGGCCCTGCAGGTCTCGACCTGGTCACTGGCCAAATCTACCAATCCAAATGAGCCCAGTACACCTGACACAACAGCAGGCCTCTGACCTTGAATTTCAGAGGTGAGGAATTAGGGAACAGGGAAAGAAAGAAAAGAGAAGAATAGAGGACGGCAAGGAAGGGGTTTCTGTGAATTAAAAAAAGAAAAAAATACATATTTCTGGTGTAAGGCTAATTTCCAGCAGGCCAGCAGTTAGCAGCAGTGGGCCTGGACAGGAGCCCATCACAAATGCTAAAGCAGCTCTAATACAGCAACGGAACCGTTTTGCTGCAGCAACAGCAACAGTATTCTGTGTGCCATGTCTGTACACCACTTTGAATAAACTATCCACCAAATGGTCTTGCTCTCAAACTGCATCTATGCATTTGCTCATATACACACAAATCGCTCTCATGGCCATGAAAGTGGGCAGAGTGAGAGATCTTTGCCTCTGCAGCTATCTGTTGTAACGCAGCAAAATAGTGACCAGTGGCATATTCCTGCTTTAATGTATGTTCATATCTTTCTGCAAATGTTACAGAAGAGCGACTTTATGGGGGTCAGCTATCTGATTAGTCCCTGTAGAGTTGTTTGTTGCAATCACATTTATTCCAAAGGCATACAAAGAGAGTGACACCGTCATGAACTTTGATGGCACACAGGCAGAACAATGGGGGTTCTAAAGCAAAAGCCACTGATCCTTCATCTGATGTGTCAGTGCTAAAATGGAAACTATGTGAGGCAGTTGGACAATGCTACTGGAAGACTGTGACAACAGTTCTTCATGGAGTACATTTAGTGCGGAGTTACAGGAGCTACGGCATTTCAATTACCAAACCTGGGGGGTGCCTTGTGTAAGGCAACGTATGTCATCAGTCTTCTGAACAGTGCGTGATCTCGAGGAGCGCTGACAAGAACCATTTTGATTACAGTTTTAAAAAAGTAAAACAAAGCTATTGGTCTAATGGTTTTGGCAATCCTTCAGCAATTGTAATAAAATGGGAGTGAATGACAAGGAAATAGCCTAAGCCAACTGGTCTGACAGACATGGCAATTTTCATGTCACATCTAACTACAAACCCAGACACTCATAGTAAAAAACAACACTGACAAATATCTTTGCGATATACAGAGGTTTCTGACAAACAAACCTGACACTTGGATGCCTGTATAATAATTTAACAGCGGTTTCTACAGTGACAGCTTCAACCCTGCAACGTGATCCATAGGCTCACACCAAACTGACACATTTTTCAATTCAGTTACAGGGGAGCAGAACGATGTCATCATCCTATGGTTCAGAAAAACACATTATATATGGTTCATAATTTAATAAACTTAATTATTCTTCACAAGTTTAAGACAACACCTAGAAAACCAAGTCTTATAGTTTAAGGGTTATGTGTCAGTGTACATCTTCATTCCTTTACAGGCATCTTTATATTTTTTCTAGACCAAAATGATCCATTCCCTATTACTCTTGCTCTTTGCAAATGAGTTATACTTCCACGCACACATACACGCGCACACGCACACGCACACACGCACACACAGTAAGGCCATTCTATGCCCATCCTCCCTCTGCCCTTGCAGTATCAAGAGGGCAAAAGGACAATGCTACTTGAGCTGATCTGATTCAACCACAATCAAGGGCAACATACTGCAGCTACAGCAATGCTAGCTTTAGCTTTAATCTGATATGGGGATGTAACAGAAGGGACTCACTACTGCTCAAAATGGATGCAGCATCACAGGTCTGATGAAACAGATGCAACTAAGTTAGTGAGATTTTTATCTAAATGTGCTGCTTGTCAAAAATTGATTTTACCACAATACAACTCAAAAATATTAATAAGGATGAGGCCTAAATGATTTGGTACAGGTCAGACATGAACCTCACCCCATGACTACGCACAACAATTAGGCTGTTATCTGCTGGTAAATTGCTGCTCATATGTAAGCTTTGCCATTTATTCAGCAAAAACACTCAAGACATGTCAAGACATGTCAGAACAAAGTCCTTACTGTTTGGCCTGTGGTGCACTGTGAGTCATTAATTGCAAGTTGAGATAAGGAAATACCTTAAAAAAGGTCAAAACGAGCATCACTCTCTACATTTTTAATTGGGTAATTTGCTAATTTGGAGAATTTTAGTTTGTTACTGAAGAAACTGTCAATGAAATTAGAGGTTATGACTTTCCCCAATGAATGGGCATGGCCTGGAAACAAAGCAGCCCATCACTGGTGGTCTCTAAGGCCAATTAGTAATATTGTTAAGCTATTGACAGGCAGCTGAAACAACAAAGGCAACCAATCATCCAGACAATTTAACACTATCTACTCCAACCAAGATGACATATTGATGGCAACCTATGGCTGACCAGAAGTTAATTTGACGGAGCAAACTGTCAGTAGATGAAGGAACATTGTGCAATGGTAAGAAGGCAAAAGGATATGCATAGTACTTAAAGAAAGCTCTCATCAGGTCTTCAGGCCTAGCTGGGCCTATAGCAACCTCCCTCTTTTCACCCCCGCCTCCTTGTAACAACCGACACAATTAATCATGAGCTGGATCAATAAAATGAATTTATCTCCATGCTCCCTTTACCTCTTGCAATCGGATCAGCGGTTTCTACATGTGATAATACAATTATTCAAGCCATCTTCATTGTGTTTGGACCCAGCTGTCAAAATTACAGTATGAATAGGCTGGCATTTTGAAAACGTGTCGCTAGGCTTTGACAGCCACGACCTGGGTGATTAATAAAGTGGTAATCCTGAAAAATCATTAGGTTCCATTTCAGAGAATAAAACAGATTGATGCCCTGTTACGTGAAAGGAGTAAAGAATAGTGCTCGGTCAATCAATCTACAGTATTACCTCTTTTTTTTTTTGTATTTCTGACTGAAATAAAAGATATCCCATAATGATATCTCCTTGTTCACTGGCGTATCTACTTTTGTCTTCATACTGTATCTCAGTGTCTGTCATTCTCAGACTTCCATTCCGGCGATGGTTCTCCTCACACCCTCTCTCACTTTCCCCATTTCTATCCTCCCTCTCACATTTCTACATCCTGCGCCCCATCTTTTTCTCTCCATCCTGATGTCCCCTTCACTCCCAACTCCCCGCATCCCCACTCCTCCCACCAACCCCCCAGCTCGTATACGTGGCACACACCGCTGCAGTGACAGAGCCACATTAGTCATCATCAGGGACATACAGCTGTGGAAGTACAGAGCCCAACGACTGATTTCTCCGCTAACACGGTGACAAATGCATCATGTAAACCCATGCCCTCCCCCCATCTCTAAAAATAGCAGTTATACCACATACTATAATAAAATTAACAGCTGACATAAATGACACATTAATGTTTAATCATTCAGGCAGCAAGCGGCCACCGCTGAAAAATATTCACACATAAAGCATTAAAACACAAAGTGCGCATACGCACGCGCTTCGGTCTATAAGCACAGGAAAAAAAAACAGTTAATAAAAGGAATACTATGCCAGAATTACTGCTAAATCATAAAAGGAGGCCATTCAGAGGCAAACTGACCTGAAAGGGGAAGATGTTATCACTGCGACCGACTCCATCATCCATCCAGGACTTGGGGTTGAAGCCTGCGGGACTGTTTCGAGGGTACTTCTGGGATGCCACGTGGTTGTTAGGGAAGGTCTTCTTTAGGGGAGAGATAGAGTTGATGGGGGTCATCCCGCCGTTCAGCCCTCGGCGATAATCTCTGCCCTGGGACCCTCCCCAGCCGCCACCACCACTACCATAGCCTCCTCCAGGGCTCCAGGAGGTGGAGGAGCCGGGGGAAGGAGAGGGGCTCTGGTAGCTGGCTGGACCCCAGGGGGACGGGGGCTTGTTCAGGCTGTTGGACAAATGCGGCAACTGGCTGAAAGCCGGATTCCTGTGCGGAAAGGGCGGCGGAGGGTGTGGAGAGGCCGGGGAGCGCCGATGCTGCTGGTGTTGGTTGTGGGGGTGTTGGAAGTGGGGGTGAGGTGGGGGAGCCGCGTGGTGCTGGGACAAGGCCGCCGCCGGTCCAATCTGGGGGGAGAAGTTCCCACCAAATCCTGGACTGACATGGTGTGAGAAGTTCTGGAACAGCAGGGGTCCGTTGTTGGCAGAGGCCGGGTTGAAGAAGCTGACGTCTTCATTTATGATGGTTGATGGCGCCGGTGGGATGGCAGCTGACCAGTTGTTGAAGCCAGTAAGTGATGACGAGGTTGTACTAGACTGGACAGGGCCAGTTCCCCCGAGACCAGATGTCTCCTGGTAATCGAAGCCTGTCAGGACTGGAGACTCGAGACGTAGCTGCTTCTCCTTTCCATTACTTCCTTCAGATGTGCCGTTGTCTGTCTTGGCTTCCTCTGACCGGGCCTTTTCCAGTTCTGAAATGATCCCACCACCACTTCCACCCTCCTGGTGACTCCCAGGGGACAACTGCTGCTGCTTTTCTTGCGTTTCCTGCATTTCCTGTTGCTGCTGTGCTTTGGGCTTTTCTGGGCCCCCCAGGATTTCGTCTTGCACACTGTTATGGGTGGCAGAGGCAGGGAAGAGCCAGGGAGAGCCTCCCGTGGTGCCATTCCCTGCGGCTGTGGTGCTGTTTATGAAAGCAGCAGGGCTCTGCGACACATTTTGGTGGTGGTGTGGGGGCTGCAGATGCGGGTGGATTCGGACCGGGAATGCAGACTTGTTGCCAGTGTTGTTTTGAACTAGGACTCCAAACCCGTAATCCCCCATTTGTTTTCTCCCCCCACACACAAATGCTATCCCGTGATCGTTTGGTCCTATTGAGAGAAGAGCACACAGGATGGCATGCACTGAGTTAGCAGTCACCCCAGTCATTCCACTATAGATCAAGGGATTTAGAAACAATTAGGTGATGGACACAGACATTTCCTAGTGACATAAAAGATCTGTTTTTTTCAGTTGGGTCTGTTTTACGCCCTCAGAGAATTCCTAGACATATGATAATCACACAATATTGTCATGAATGAGCTCATTCTTGCACTGAACAATCTAACCTTATTACTCTAGGCAGTTGACAAAAGCCAACCAGTTAACATTACATCTTTAGCTAATTATAACCCCGTGACGTTGCCAGCTTGTCTGCAGCTGAGCTGCTGGCAGCCACCAGTAAAGCTAGAAGCAGCCGGCACATACACACACACACACACACACACACACACATTTTGAGACGGTTTCCTTACGCAAACCGACTGACAAACAATAAATTACTCACAGCATAACGTCAACGAGAACAGAGTAATACAAAATATCAATGAATGTTGAACATATTAGCAATCAATCGTTATAACGTTCACAAGAAAAGCACTCGACCTTGTTTGACAGCTGTCAGTCCAACCTCCAATTTTATCAGATTTAACTCACACACTTGTTTACTCTGACTGAAATGGGTCCATTGAGTAGTGTCACACATTGTTGTTCATTAATACATCCTTACACTTGAGGTAACAGTCGACAGTCAAGCGGTTTAAAATAAACTAGATGTGTTAGCTACCATCCGTTGCTAACGTTAGCTAGCTAGCTATTAACCGTTAGCACGAATGCTAGCTAGCCGGACAGGCTGGATACAGGCGAGTAAAATTTATTCTCACCTTCTGATCACCACCTTCGACCTCGGCGATGTCTTTGTCGAGACGCTTCCCCGGGCTGAAAGCAAGGTGGTGTCCTCGAAAAGATGAGTACGGCAGGAAAAGCTTTTCAGAGGCGATTTGATAGCTGACTCGTACAGTGCAGTCGGTCAGCTTTTTTTTTCTCCCTTCTCCTGACGTGTCCTGCCTGCTCAATGACACAGCTCTCTATCCGCTGCCTCTGATCTGGACCGTATCACCAAAGAGCTTTGTTAACGTGGCAATGTGTGTAATGTATTCGGCCGCGGGTCTTTCACAAGCTTTTACTCGATGGGGTTCATTGTTCGTTTGATTTCAGTATCTTTTTTCGCTAAGGGTCTTTCCAGAGCCAGCCGATTCCTGTGCGCTTCTTGGCTGCCCCTCTCTCCTGGAACCGACCGTGGCCGAATAACAGCGAGAGATCGGCCGAGACACACTTCCGCTTCTAGCGCCACCCTTTCCATGCTGACCACTCCTCCGGAGAGCCACACCTCGACATGTGATTGGACGGAGCGCCGGCAACCTCGCCCAATTTCTTCATCATTTAACAGCCATACACCAATAATACATCCATGCCACCCGTAAGTACTGCCCACTGAGGTCGGAATCATAGAAAAAAAAATCCTCCTTGCACGGTCCTGTCCTTTCACGATGCAGCCTGTATCAGGTCGTGAGAAAGCTGAGATACCCCCCCCCCCCCATCCCTCCCCCCACACTCCTCTGGAAAGGATGGCAATGCCTCAGAGAAAGAAGAAAGCATCCTTGGCCCAAGCTTCTTGATCTCACACTCCCTCAGTGTACAAGTGGCGATGACCTGTCTGGAAAACAAAAGTGTCATAGCAGAAACGATTTGCTGTCAAAAAAGATGGCCACTCATTCTGCTCCATACACCAGATTACAAAACCACATGGAGGTGGTGGAACTGCTCAAAAACTACTCAGGTACAGGAGAACTCAACATCTTGGAGGTTTTGAATGAGGGATTATCCATAATCCAGTTCATGTGGAATACTTTGTGGCCCTTGCCTCTGCTGTCCTAACAGGCCTATGTTGATAGTCTGATTGCCTATTAATGTCTCTTACAGGGTCTGTAAACTGTGCTAATGACTGTCCTTTGACTTTTATTCACATTTTTTCATTCATTTCATTTTTTACTTTTTGTGTAATAAATTTACTCTTTTTGCATCTGGATTCTCTTTGCGTCCTTATCAGTGTGAATGGGACAACTGATTTTGGCCACATACTCCTGGCATCATCTTCTGAAAAGCCTGAATTCAAAAGCACAAACCCAGCAACAATTCTTAATGATACAGGAAGTCATGGTATCATTTCACTAGGTGGTTTTGTTGTTTTCTTGTTTTCATGTTTGTGTTATCCTTTTTTTTCTAAGGCAGCTCATATTTGTCATTAGTTTCCATTCCCACATTATTGATTACTGTCTCCTGTATTTTTTTCTGAAACTTGACATCATTATGTTTTTATAAAATACATATAAAAAAGATAATGAGCCAGAATGGCACTCTGCGCCAAGGTGGGAAATGCCTTATCTTGAAATGTTAAGGAAAGTGATTTTTTAACAATTCCAGGATCAGGCCTTTTAACTGGATCAGCACCAAAATTTAATGGGTTCTTTCCTGGCTCATGCCCCATTCCTCCACCAAGTTTGGTGCAAATCCTGCTGACAAACAAACAAACAAACAAACAAACCAACAAACAGTCACAGGCGAAAGAAGACACAATCTCCTTGGCGGAGGTAAACAGCACATGTGAAATTCATGATATTCCATCTGTCTGAAAAACATATGTGCCGATTTAATTTCATCACATGTCGTGTCTTGTATTTAGCATGTGAAATGTCGGAAAATTACATTTGCCTGCATGTGAATTTTTCACATTTCAAATGGTTTTCTACATGTAATAAACATGTGAAATGTGCTTCACATATGATAAATTCACATGTGCTTTTTTCATTTCTTTTGTCTCCAAATTATGTCCCATTAAGGAGGGCTATATCTTTACTCCGTTTAAATCAAGCATGATTTAAAGGAATAGTTTGACATTGAAAATATACATGTTTGATTCAAAGATCAATACCATGTTAATTAGTGAGCTTTTGAGTTGCTAGTAGGTGTTTTTGTTTTGACCTTTCTTTGGACATTGCCACCAGACTAGCTGATTCCCCCAGTCTTTATGCTAAGCTATGCTAACTGCCTGCTGGCTCCAGCCCACATTCAAAAGACGGACATGAAAGTGCTATAAATCTTCCCATCTAAATCTCAGCAAGAAAGCAAATAAGCATATTTCCCAAAATGTCAAAACTATTACTTCAAAAACTCGACCCATGAAGGACCTCCTCTTGTGTTTAAAAACTAGCGTAAGCTAGTCCCTGCATGCACAGTATTCTAACAGTTTAATGTGTGATTGATCATATAACCATTTGAATCACTCCTAATTTCACCAGTATATCACAGCATAGCCCAGCTAAGAGATGTGACTGTGTCCGCTTTACTCTGCCAGATGTCTGACCATCCAACCCTTTTTACTTCATCACCCGCCCACACCATTCCCCACATCTCTTTATCTCCCTCTCTGTCCTCCTCTGTGTCCTTCTCTCCTGTACGGTCATTATCACTTCGAGGTCATCAAACAGCTTTGACTCTGTCAGTCTCACCGACCCTCAACTGGCAGTGTTACATGCAGCCACAAATGGCTATCTAATAAATCTGTCACTTCAAGTCCAGCTGGGAGAGGGTGATAAATTAGGGAATCTGTAGCGTTCTGCATTATTAAATGTGTACAGAAAGGATGAGCAGGGGATGGGAGGTGGATAGCAGGTATTGGCAGGGCTAGGGAGTGACCGGCTTAAAGTAATCCGATTAAAAAAATATATATTACAGATATCTGATAGTAACACTATTCACATTCAGTTTGCGTGTTGGTGCGAACTGTGCAAATACCCACGCATGAAATAGAATTCTGAGGTAAATAGCTTCAAAAGTGAACTTGAACATTTATTTTACAATTTGATGCAAAACATAATTGAATGCAAGCTGAGAGCACTGATAACCTACCAGTGATAACATTAACTGTAAGAAAATCTTAACTTTTTCAAGTTGCTGTTTTTTCATTTGATTATAGGGATTATATTTTGGCATGGAGCAGCATAGGTCTATTACTTCCAGATAAAACAAAAATATTTTAAATATTATTTTCAAAAATATGATGAAATATCATAACATATGACTCCTTCTAAATTTAAAGTGCAAATTGTTCTGTCCTCTTATCTTCTCTGGCATAATATGAATCGTCCTTTAATTGTCTCATGATAATGATATAATGATGCAGTAGATATATTCCACAAATGATCGTTTTCCCTGCATTGCTATTGCTTTTTAATCAGTGTAATATATCCATTGCAAATATACAGCACAGCAGCGCCAGCCTGACACTTGTATCATGCATTTCTATTATATATTGTCATTCCTACTGGTGACCTCCATTTCCCTTCCCTATTTTCTCATCTCTGTTCTGTTCCACCATCAAAAGTGCTCAAGTGAAATCTTAATCATACACTGGAGGGCCAGAATCAGCAGGAGGAAGGAGTAACGTTTGATAGCCCTAAAAGTGCTGCAGCTTTACACTATCTCTTGCATAGGGCAGGATATTCATCTCGCAGCGGGGTGGATGATTAGGCAGAGTGCTTGGTACTGTAAATGGATTTCTAGGACAGTATAACCAGTCTGACTGGCCTCACTCAGGAGACAACACCCTCTCCTCCTTCTGTTCTCCGTCTGCCTTTCACTCTCTGTCTCACACACAGGTTTGTTTTGTTTTTTTTACCAAATTCCCCATGTCCAGAGGAACACAAAAAAACAAAGCACGAAGCAGAAGGGGACATAGCATACATATTTGTGAAATTATTTATGGAACCTATATTTCTGTATCTACAGCTTCAGCCTAAAATGTTACAGCGTAAAGCTACTGAGATGTGTGATTTGTCTAGAAAATCGCTAATAGCCAGTTTTGCCATGTGTTCTCTTTCTGGCAGTGGTTTTGTGTGTGCTCTGCCATATCCAAGACTGGATAGGTGCTATGAATAAAACATTGAATCCATTAAAAAATTAATCGACTCTACCTTAGGCATAATTATGGTGCAATTCCTCCCAGAGTGCATGTGTGTGCATGTGTGTGCATGTGTGTGCGTGTGTGTGTGTGTGTGTGTGTGCGTGTGTGTCTGTTTGTGAGTTTTAGTGTACAGTTTTATATGTGCACAAAGGTGCCTAAGTGCCAATGTGCACATGCAAAATTCCATGCTAATCTTAAAATCTCAATTTGAACAATTCTACAGCGCTGGTAGAGAAAATTCTGCAGCCCGTTCACGTGACTGGACAAACTCCAAAATGCATTGTGATCCACTGAAAAACATGGCTGTTTTCCAAACTGACATTTGGGAAATACAAGGTGTTGACCTGACAGTGATTGTATTTGTCTAAATTATGCAGATGTTTCCACGTATGGTGTCTCAGGGAGAGATAGACGGTTTTTGAACAACGTAACAAAGCGATCACGATGCACTGTCGAAGAGTTGTGTTTGTGTCTTATGAAATATTCAGAGAGTGTACATGCTGCTGACAAAACGGTGCGGACGTGCTCCTGGGTGGCTTTGGGACACAACAAGGACCTCTGGGTAGGAAGTAGAGTGGTGGTGGTGGTGGGGTTGGGGGGGGGGGGGGGGGGGGGGGGGTGGGGGGGGGGGGTGAATGGTGAATTAGATGATGCAAAAACCAAATATGCAAGAGGAGGATGGGAGGATAAGAGTGCAGAGCAAACATGGAACACGGATGGATGTAGAAACAAATAACTATATACAAGTGTGTAAATGCTTCAGTCTTAAAAGTCTCCATTGAAACTAACAATAAACATAGAATGATTTCACTTTCAACACCACTTACAATCTTTACACACAAAGAAGACTTTATAGATCAATCACTTTTCCAGTGTTTCCACCATAGTTGTATTGATCCGTCTTAAGGTGACACTCGTAATTAATGAAAACATAATTTTACTAGAAATATAAATGAAAGCCATCAGCTTCCTTCATATTTATATTAGAGAGTAATTCCTCTCCTCAGTGTTTTCGTTTTTGTCTGACAGCCTGAGACCTTTCACATCCTTCATGTGTCCAGTGTACTTTGCCCTGTTATGCTCTCCCTGGGGACGCTATACTAATTAAGCCACAGAGGTCTCTGCTGGGTAGCGGGCCAGGGTGACTGTTTGAAAAAGACACATGTACTCAGTGTGTCTGTGTGTGTGTGTGTGTGTGTGTGTGTGTGTGTGTGTGTGTGTGTGTGCGTGTGTGTGCGTGTGCGTGTGTGTGCGTGTGTGTGTGTGTCA